AGGTGTTGTGCACGTGCATGAGTGTGCATGCATTCACGTGGCTCATTGAGGCACTGGAAACCAGGACAGAGTGAAGACAGAAAGTGACCGCCAGGCCCAATTCAGGAAAACCTGGCACTGGGCAGGGCAATACCTGCATGAGGGGCAGGACCAGAGAAGGCAGAACCAGGGAAGATTCTAGAACCAACTCTGATGATTGATTCTATACCATTTTGCCTCCTGAATAAGTCACCCTACACCCCACGGTTCCGTTTTTTGGTTTTGGTTTTGGTGCCAGTCCTAGGGTTTGAACTCAAGACCTGGACCCTGTCCCTGAGTTTTTCTGCTCAAGGCTGGACCGCTAGCACTTGAGCCACAGCTCCCCATCTAGCTTTTTGGTGGTTCATCAGAGATGAGAGTCTCATGGACTTTCCTGCCTAGGCTGGCTTTGAACCATGATCCTCAAATCTCAGCCTCCTGAGTAAGCCAGGATTACAGGTGTGGGCACTGGCACCCTGCTCCCACACTTGAGTTCTGTGAGGTATTCCAGGAGGACCCCAGGCATCTCCCAGGAGATGGCTCCGTGGAAAGAACATATGTGTGTGGAGAACTGTGGGTGACAGGGACATCACAGGAACAGGGAGAGACAGAGAGATAGAACACATGGCCTGTGATCCAGCTATGCACCTTTTGTCCTTTGTAAAAATGGAGCTGGACAGGATGGTGGCCGCCATATGCACTGGTGAGTGGGGTGAGGGTGACCTCTGCTGGTGACTATGAACATTACAGGCAGGACTCGGATGGTCTTGGGGGAGGGCCATGTCTCCTCCCAGCTGGTTTCAGTATCACACAGTCAGATAGGACTGCGGGACAGCAGAGAGGGGCCATGAGGTGAGGGTCCGCATCCACAGCGAAGACATGGTGGAAGGAGGGCTTCTTCATTCTGGTGTGCCAGGACCCCAGGTTTGCCAGGCCTGGGGTCCTGGCAAAGCCTTAGTTGAGCACTGAACTGGAATGCATGCCCAGGCCATCCCATCCTCCAGGAGTTGGCCCTTAGGTGCGGGCTGTGGACACCCACAGGGTGTTGCAAGGACCTCAGCTCCTCACTCCAGACCCCATGATTCCACCGCACCTCCCAACGCTGCTGCCCTAAAGTCAGTTTATCTTCTTTCCAAAGCAAGACAGGGTTCCTCCGGGACCCCTCCCAGAGGCTCCCAGGGAAGGTGCTCACCAGCCCTGCCCAAGGAATGGCTTCCAGTATGGCCCACTGAGGCCCTATGTGTGGGAACCAAAGCTTCTGCTTTACAGAGGGGAAAACAGCACCGAGGGACTGGTCTCTTCCAAGGCCAAGGGTTATTAGGACAATCATCTGCTCTTAAATCATGACATAATTCCGCCCCCCGCCCCCAGCCACACACACAATCGCTCAAGCCCTAGCTACTCAGGAGACTGAGATCTGAAGATTGAGTTCAAAGCCAACTCCAGCAGTAAGTCTACAAGATTCTTACCTCCAATTAAAAGCCAAAAAATGCTGGGTGTCAGTAGGTCATATCTGTTATCCTACTCAGGAAGCTGAGATCTGTGGATCTCAGCTCAAAGCCAGCCTGAGCAGGAAAATCCATGAGACTTTTTTGGTCTGTCGTGGGGCTTGATCTGGGCTTGGGCACTGTCCCTGAGTTTTTCATCTCAAGGCGAGCGCTCTACCACTTGGGCCACAGAGCCACTTCCGGCTTTTGTCTTTTTGCTTATGTGGTGCTGGGGACTCGAACCCAGGGCCTCAGGCATGCAAGGCAAGTGCTCTACCACTGAGCCACCTTCCCAGCCCCTTCCATGAAATTCTTATCTCCACTGAACCACCAGAAAACCTGAAGTGGCACTGTGGCTCAGAGTGGTAGAACGTTAACCTTGAGCAATAGAGCTGAGGAACAGTGCTCAGGACTGACACACACACCCAAACACCCCCTTACCCCCTCTCCCCACAATCCCTGAGAAAATCAACTTAGGAGGAAGGATTCCCTTCAGCTCATGGTTTCAGTCCACAGTCGCTGACCAAAATGAGGCCGAACATCAGTGGTGGAAGAAACACATCATGGTGGACAGGAAGCAGAGAGGACCGGGCCAGAGACATACATACCCCACAAGGTCCCCAGTGACCCGCTTCCTTCCAGGCCCCGCCTCCCGGCAGCCTCAACTATGATGTCATTAGTGGAGGATTCCATTGGTGCAGCCAGAGCCCCCGTGAGCCAATCACCTCTCAAGGCCCCTGCCTCCGGATAGCCCACTCAGCCATGATGTCATCAGTGGAGGAACTAGGTGGTGGAATCAGAGCCCCAGTGATCCAATCGCCTCTCGGTGGCGCCCCTGCTGGGGACTGTCAACCTCCACATCGGTGCCTACAGCCACTGCCTTAGTTCACCCCATCCGGAATACAGAAGGAGGCAGCTGGGAGGGTGGGAAATCTACACAGAGATTTGGTTTGGGGATGGGTTGACTCTTTGATCCGGGGCTGTCCTGTCCATTGCAGGTACTGAGCAGACCCCTGGTCCCTGCCAGCACCGTCTCTCCGCTGGCCCCAGACTCGGCCCTAGACACTGCTTCGCAGCTCCCAAGGGGCCTCTGTAGAGGAACTGAGGTCGCTGGGGTCATGGCATCTGCAGCCAGGAATGAGGTTGAGGGGCGTGTCCTCTACAGACAGGAAGTGAGGTTGAGGGGCGTGGCATCTAGCCTTCCTTTCCACCTCTTTCTCACTTGGTCACCTGGAAGGCAGCTTCCTTCCCCACCTGTCCCTCCATGATGCCTCAGGCCCAAAGCAACAGGGCCACTGGCCATGACTGAACGGATACTGGGCCAAGCAAGCCCATTATGCATGTATGCATGTGTATGTGTGTATGACAGTCCTGGGGCTTGAACTCAGGGCCTAGGTGCTGCCGCTGAGCTTCTTTGGCTAGTGCTCTGCCACTTGAGCCACAGTGCTACTTCTGGAAGTGCTGATTTGAGACTATGCTTATACTCAAAGGGACCCTGGTCCTTCCTTCTTCTTTCCCATCCTCCCTGACTCTCTGTGGCCGTTAATCTTGCAGGCTTCGAGGTTCATGACACAGGTAGTGCTCACACAGCTCACCAGTCTGCTTTTCCAGGTCTTTGCTTGTGGCTTTTTGTTGTTGTTGTTATAGGGGTTGAACTCTGGGCCTGGGCACTGTACCTCAGCTCTTCAGCTCAAGGTGAGCGCTCTACCACTTGAGGCATAGCGCCACTTCTGGTTTTCTGGTAGTTAATTGTCCTACCCTGGCTGGCTTTGAACTGTGATCCTCAGATGTCAGCCTCCTGAGTAGCTAGGATTATAGGTGTGAGCCACTGGCCCCTGGATTTTTTTTTCTCTCTCAGTATTAAAGCTTGAACTCAAGGGTCTCGCATTTGCTAGGCAAGTGCCCCTACCACCAAGCCACAGCCCCAGATCGTTTTGCCTTAGTTGGAACTTGGAATTTCTATCTCAGCCTAGGGCATAGCTTGGATGACAGAGGTGTGGGCCACTGAATGAGATGGAGTCTTGCAATGTCTGGTTTCGAACCATAATCCTCCTCATCTCAGCTTCCTGGTAACTGTGGGTTAGTCCGGGTGCGAGTCTGCACACCTGGCAAAAACTGTGTTTTTGAGACAGGGTCCTGTTGTGCAGTCCAGGCAGGGCATGAACTTGGGATCAACCTATGTCACTGCTTTCAGCCTGCCCCAGCCCTTCCTGGTGGCCTAGATTGAGAGTGAGGAGGGACTGCACCCTAAGTTTCTACCACGACCATTAAGTCCTTCCTATTTTCCTTCTGCTTAAAAATTAAAACTCAAGGGGGCTGGGAAGGTGGCTCAGTGGTAGAGTGTGTGCCTTGCATGCATGAGGCCCTGGATTCAAATCCTCAGCACCACATAAGCAGAAAAAAAAGCCGGAAGTGGTGCTGTGGCTCAAGTGGTAGAGCGCTAGCCTTGAGCTGAAGAGCTGAGGGACAGCGCCCAGGCCCAGAGTTCAGGCAAAAAAATAAATAAATAAATTAAAACTCAAGTTCAGTAAGTTGGGCGCTGGTGGCTCACACCTGTAAACCTAGCTACTCAGGAGGCTGAGATCTGAGGATCACGGTTCAAAGCCAGCCAGGGCAGAAAAGTCCATGAGACTCTTTTTTTTTTTTTGTCGGTCGTGGGGCTTGAACTCTGGGCCTGGGCGCTGTCCTTCAGCTCTTCAGCTCAAGGCGAGCGCTCTACCACTTGAGCTACAGCGCCACTTCCGGTTTTCTGGTGGTTTATTGGAGATAGGAGTCTCATGGTCTCTCCTGCCCGGGCTGGCTTTGAACCGTGATCCTCAGATCTCAGCCTCCTGAGTAGCTAGGATTACAGGTGTGAGCCACCAGCACCCGGCCATGAGACTCTTATCTCCAATAAACTACTAGAAAACTGGAAGTGGTGCTCTGGTCCAAGTGGCAGAGAGTTCGCCTTAACCTGAAGAGCTGAGGGATAGCGCCCAGGTCCACAGTTCAAGCCCCATGACTTGGGTCTGGGCGCTGTCCCTCAGCTCTTCGGCTCAAGGCTAGCGCTCTACCACTTGAGCCACAGTGCCACTTCTGGCTTTTTCTGCTTATGTGGTGCTGAGGAATCGAACCCAGGGCCTCATGCATGCATGGCAAGCGCTCTACCACTGAGCCACCTTCCCAGTCCTGGCCTCAAATCTGGAGCCTCTTGTCTCTGTGTTCCCAAGTAACTGTGACTACAGGTGTGTGCCACCACACTCAGCCCCTCATGCACGTCTACTGCCACCTTGTGGAGGCCCCCCCCCATAGCCATTCATGTGAGCAGGACAGCAGACAACAAAGTGAGGACCAACTAATTCCTCCCCTGGCACCGGTGGAGGGGTGCTGCCTTGGGGTGACTTGGGTCCCCAGGCACCCACAGAGTCCTGGATGACCACTTGGCTCCTGCACCTCAGTCACAAGCTTTATTGCCCGAAGACAGATGAGCCACGCTTCCACAATTCCACTGGGGGAGGGAGGGGGTGGAGGGGGTTAGGGCGGGGAAGGGCAGGGCCAGGAGAGGACCTGGTGGCCGTGCGGCAGGCCATCCAGATGGCTTGTCACAAACCTGCCGGGCCACCCTCCCGGCCTGGGCCCGCTAGTACTCAGAGCTGCTGGACTGTGCTAGAAGCTGCAGTACAGTCTCTGGCCAAACCACTAACACGCATCGCTTCTAAGCCGATGTTACTAAATCCGCTACGGAAGCCAGCGGGGAGTGGGGGGCATAGGCGGGTACATGGCTGCCCCCCATAGCTGCCTTGGGGTGACTGTGACCCTTGCCAGCCTGTACCTGGGGGAGGGACATCAGGCCGCCCTCCTGGAACTGGGGGCCCGCAGGGGTGAGCGCCGCCCCGCACCTCACGCTTGCTGTGTGGCCTGGGGACAGTGTGGTACCAGCCCTGGTCACCCTGGCTCCAGGCCAGGGCTGCCCGAGGCCGCAGGGTGGAGAGGAGCTGGTGCGGGCATAATACTGAGGCTGGCGGGGCCCAGCCGGCCTCCTGGGCAGGACAAGCTGAGTATGGAGGCCCCGGGTCGCGGACACCCACCACCTTGTCCTAGGGGCCAGGGGCAGGGACAGCGGGGGACACAGCCTGGCCCTGGCACCCAGGGCAGCTTGCTCCGGGGAGTCTCTGGCAGGGTTATCTTAGCTTCTCCCTAAGAGTTCCAGAAGCTTCTTCATGCCCAAGTGAGGGCTGAGACAGGCGGGCTGCGGTGGATGGCAAGCTCCGGGCACCTCCTGGTCCGGCAGGGGCAAGGTTGCTATGGTCACGGCTGGCCACGCCGCCTCCAGGTCCACGGGGTCAGTGCCGGTCCTGGGGGGGGGGCCAGGATTTGGTCAGAGAGGCAGGGAGGAAAGCAGGACCAAGGCAGGAGGGCAGGTGGGCATGCGGGGAGAGGACCCGCAGGTGCCAAGGCCCTGGGGCAGGAAATGTGTGGGTTTTACAAGGAGCCCAGGGGGAAAGGCTGGATGGATGGAGATGGGAATGGGGGTGGCAGGCCCCAATTTCCCCGTGTGTCAGCTGGGATGAGCCCGCCCTGGCAGGAGAGCCACAGGCGCAAGGTGGAAGCCCAGGCTCAGGACGTGGCCAAGGCTGCGCTGGGCTCCGGGCCCTGCAGAACAGCTGTGGGCTGGGTGACAGCTCTGTCTGCACATAGCGGGCGGGGGCCAGGCCTGAGCAGGGCTGCAGCAGCAGAGCCGGGAGCTGGCCGGGAGAGGGGGCGGTGCACCTGCACAAAGCACGGGAGCCTCTGATACAAAAAGGGGCTAGGAAAAACATTTTTGGGGAGAGGAGATATTGGAGTTTGAACTCATAGCCTTGTATTCTCATTCAACTTTTTTTCCCCCCTTGGCGCCCAATACTGGGCACCAAAAAACTCAAGGGCTGGGTGTTCTCTCGAGCTTTTGTACTCAAGACAGGTGCTCTACCACTTGAGCCACAGCTCCACTTCCAGTGTCTTGGGGGTTCATTGAAGGGAAGAGTCTCATGGATTTTCCTGCCCAGGCTGGTTTCAGATCACAACCCTTCAGATTTCAGCCTCCTGAACAGCTAGGATTATGGATGTGAGCCACCAGTGCCCAGCTAATTTTATTCATTCATTCATTTAGGTTGGTCGTGGAGCTTGAACTCAGGGCCTGGGCGCTGTCCCCAAGTGCTCTTTGCTCAAGACTAGAGTTCTAGCACTTTGAGCCACAGCACCGCTTCCATTTTTTTGGTTCACTGGAGATAAGAGTCTCACAGACTTTCCTGCACAGGCTGGCTTCGAACCTTAATCCTAACATCGCAGCCTCCTAAATAGGATTACAGGTGTGAGCCACCAGCGCTCAGCAGCTCAGGAGCTCTTCATCATCCAGCCTTCAATTGCCTCCTGGGTGCTGAGATTACAGGCATGAGCCACCTTACCCAGCCTGCCTACACAATACCGATGTGTTGGGTACAGTGGCAGTTGGCTCAGACAAGAGGCGTAGAAGGCTGGGTGCGGCTTGTGATCCCAGAGCTCAGGAAGGGGGCGCAAGAGGCCAGCCAGGCGTATGAGTACAATGAGACTCTGTGTCGAGAAAAATGGGGGTGGGGGTCACTGGGGTGTAGCTCCATGGCAGAGCGCCCTCCTGGCACACACAAAGCTCCGGGTTCATTCTCAGTGCTGGGCAAAGAAAAAAGGCAGGAAGGACGCTGTCGCCCCTGAACGCGCCTCTGTGAATGGCCTCTTGTTAGGGGCACACGCGTGCACGCTTGGGCACGCACACACATGCGGCTTCCTCTGCGTTTAGTGCCTTCCCAGGTGTCCTTCTACGGGGGTGCCTTTACCTCTTGCTTCTGGGCCTTGTCTGGTTGATGGATGCCATTGGCAGAACCGGAAGTGAAGGTCTGCAGGAGGGTGGGGATGGGCAGAGGCCATGAACCCGGTGCTCACTGGGTAGGGCCAGTGCCCAACACCAACACCCCAGGCCGGGCTCCATCCTCCTCCCTCCCTCCCTCCCTCCTTTCTGCTCCCTCCCTTTTCTTTCTCCACTTCCTCCCTCCAGGCTGGGCAGCCCGTCTCTGGTTCTTCCTGGCGTGGACCCCCCCGCAGCCTGGGCCCCAGTGCTCACCTGGGCCCGGTCAGGGCCCCGCATGGCCTCCACGAACTTCTCCACTTGCCGCGTGAGCTCCAGGGCCTCGCGCAGCGCATCCTCGGTGCTCAGCAGCTGGTGCTGCAGGCGGAGCAGCTCCGGCGCGGATGTGGGGTCGATGAGGGAGAAGCGTCTCTGCTCGGCCAGGCCCCGGTCCTTGTCCTGTGCAGAGCTTGGGGTCAGCGCTGCCCCAGCCAGGCCGCTTACAAGAAGCCCTTGAGGCCCACGTACCCCGAGACACTGGGCCACCAAGTGCCCAGAGATGGCTCTGCCTGGCCCTTGGCCTGGCCTCCATGCCAGCCTCAGGAGGCCGGGCTCGCTGGGCATAGTCCATACCACCTGGCTGATGGACAGCCAAAGAACCAAGCACCCCAGACCCCCTAGCACAGGCCTGGTCACATAGCCACAAGACTGCAGGGCATGGACGGGAAGAGAGCAGTGATCATCAGGCCCAGACTGGGCAGAGCCCGCAGGCCTGGCCCGCCCCTGCTTCCTTCTCCCTGCCAGGCAGTTAGTAAGGATCGCGGTTTGAAGCCAGTCCGGGCAGGAAAGTCCGGAAGACTCTCCAATGAACCACCAAAAGCCAGAAGTGGAGCTGTGGCTCAAATGCAGTGCCCACCTTGAGTGAAAACTCTATGAGACAGCGCCAGTCTCTGAGTTCAAGTCCCAGAACTGGTACAAAACCAAAACAGGTCCCCGGGGACCCCAGCACAGCGTGGAAGTTCTGGCCAATTCCCTTGGGGCGCGGGGGCTCCCTACCTGGACAGCCACCGGCCTGGGCGCAGGCCCCACTGGGCTGACCCCCACCGGCCTCAGCCTGCCATGGCCCCCCTCCCACAGGCCCCGCCCTGTCCCACCCCTGTGCGAGTCCCTCCCACAGGCCCCGCCCTGTCCCATCCCCTGTGCGAGTCCCTCCCACAGGCCCCGCCCTGTCCCATCCCCTGTGCGAGTCCCTCCCACAGGCCCCGCCCTGTCCCACCCCTGTGCGAGTCCCTCCCACAGGCCCCGCCCTGTCCCATCCCCGCGCGAGTCCCTCCCACAGGCCCCGCCCTGTCCCATCCCCGTGCGAGTCCCTCCCACAGGCCCCGCCCAGTCCCCCAAGTACCAGCCCCGTGAGCTCCTCCCGCAGACCCCGGATGTCATCCTTCAGTTTCTGCTCCTTGATCCGCCACTCAGCCTTGTGCACCTCGCGGCTCAGGTCCCGCTCAGGTCCCGGCGAGTGGCGATTGGCCTCCAGGAGCAGCACCCTCAGCTCGTTCAGACTCCTGGGAGCACAGGAGGAGCGTCAGCCAGCGCCCAGCCTACTCAGGAGGCTGAGAGGCGAGAATCGCAGCCCAGGGTGCAGTGTGCTGCGGGGTCGAGGGCGGGGGGGGGGGGGGGGGGGGGGGGGGGGGGGGGGGGGGGGGGGAAGGAGAAGGATGGGGGGGGGGGGGGGGAGGGGGTGGGCAGGCTGGCTCACCGCTCCTTCCGCAGCAGCTCCCTGCTGAGGGTGACCAGCTGGCCTGAGCCGTCATGAGTCCTGCGGGCCGCGGCGTCCAGCTCCGCCTCCAGACGCCGCTTCTCCTTCAGCAGTGTGTCCGTCCTCTTCTCCGCGGCCTTGCACTTGGCCTCCAGCGCTGCCCAAGGCCATGGGGAGAGGGTTGAGCCCTTCGGGGACCCAGGTCCACCCAGGGCGCTGGGGCTCAGGGGGGCCAGCCCGAGAAGAGGACCTCACAGAACAAGACAAACTCCAAAACCAGTGCCCGGGCAGTGGGTCAGGAAGAGGTGCCCCTTCCTCAGGGCATGGCAGACATGCAGCAATTAGACAAGGAGGCTGAGCTGTGGCCCAGGGCCCCTGACTTCTGTGGACTCGCTTAGCCACGTGATGTGACAGGGATGGGGGGGGGTCCTACGGGAATGCAGTCCAGCATTCAGAGGAAGATGATGACACCCCCCGCCCCCCACATCGCTTCTCTGTGCTGGTCCTAGGTCTTGAACTCAGGTTCTGGGTGCTGTCCCTTAGTTTTTTTTTTTTAGCTCAAGGCTGGTGCTCTACCACTTGAGCCACAGTTCCATTCCAGCTTTTTTGGTGGTTAATTAGAGAGATAAGAGTCCCACCAACTTTCCTGCCTATGTTGTCTTTGACCTCAATCATCAGATTTCAGCCTCCTGGGTAGCTAGGATTACAGGCGTGAGCCACCAGTGCCTGCTAAGACCAGTTGTTCTGAGATTGCCAATCCCAGAGCCCTGCTTCCCCCTGCCCTGTGGCTGGCTCCGGGTGGGGCCAGCTGTGGCCTCCCCCACCTCTACCCGAGCAGGCAGTCTCGGTGTCTCTCCTGGTAATGGGGTTCAGACCAACAACCACAAACAGCTGGGGACAGGCAGGGCTAAGGGACGGAGACTTACCACTTACTTGGGCCCCAAGTGTCTCGGCCTGGGACGTCAACGCCATCACCTCTTTGTCCCTCTTGTGGAGCTTGTCCTGCAGGTCTAGGGGCAGAAGAGGGGCTTGGTATGCTCCAGGGAGGCCTGGCCTCTCCAAGGAGGCCACACTGGGCCTCCAGGGCCCAGCCCTTCCTGACTCTTCGCTGTCCTGGCCAGGGCAGAATGCTGGACCACACGCCAGTCACTCCCGTGTCCTGTGTCACCAGGCATGGGGACAGATCAGGCTCCCCTCCCGTTTGGTTCCTTCTCTTAGACGAGATCTAATGATATAGCTCAGGCTGGCCTAGAACTCCATCCTCCTACCTCAGCTTCTTGTATGCTGGCATTGTAGGTGTGCACTACCATGCCCAGCTATAAATAACAATACCAAGATTCTAATTGTGTGTGTGTTGGCTGGTACTGAGGCTTGAACCTGGGGCTAGGGCACCCAAGTTATTTTGGCTGGTGCTCTACCACTTGAGCTATACCTCTAAGTCCTTCTTTTTGCTAGGTATTTTGAAGATGATGTCTTTACAACTTTTTTCTGCCTGAGCTGGACTACAGGTGAGCCACTGGTGACCAGGGCCAAAGGAATTTTTAAAAAGCAAAGGAGGGGGCTGGGAAGGTGGCTCAGTGGTAGAGTGCTTGCCTAGCATGCATGAGGCCCTGGGTTCAAATCCTCAGCACTACGTAAACAGAAAAGGCTGGAAGTGGCGCTGTGGCTCAAATGGTAGAGCGCTAGCCTTGAGCTGAAGAACTCAGGGACAGCGTCCAGGCCTAGAGTTCCAGCCCCACAACTGACCAAAAAACAAGAAACATAAACAAAAAAAAAAAAAAACAAAGGAGGGCCAGGCACGGATGGCTCACGCCCGTCATCCTGCCATCCTCATCTAGGCTGGCGGTGGCACAAGAGGCCCAGCCATTCCTGTCCATCCTACTCACCCTCCAGCGTCTCCTTCATGCTCATCTTCTCCTCCGAAAGGTCATTGGCCTCGATCACCTGGAAGAAGGCAGGGTCCTGCCTGTTGCCTGGTCCACCAGCCCCCCCACACACACCTCATCCTGTATAAGGGCCTTGATGCGGTGTCCAGGGCCACCATGTCCCCACGCAGCCTCCCCATGACAGAGGTGGACCCTCGGCTTCACCTCCATGAGCTACTGCCTCCTTAGTCACGGTACTACAGCGGGTGCTGGGGCTCACACCCATAATTCTAACTATTCAGGAGACAGATCTGAGGATCATAGTTCAAACCCAGCCTGGGCATAAAAGGCTATGAAACTTATCTCCAATAAACTACCAGAAAACCAGAAGTGGCACTGTGACTCAAGTGATAGTGAGCTAACCTTGAGCTGAAGAGCTGAGAGATAGTAATCAGGCCCAGAGTTCAAGCCCATGACTGACAAAAAAAAAAAAACCCAATTTTTAAAAATATGTATGTTTGTTTTTTTTAAATTGAGCAGGTATAGTGGTGTGTGCCTTCCTCAAGAGGCTGAGGAAGGAAGAAATGGAGTTCAAGGCCAGCCTGGGCTACCTGGTAGTTGGGAGCTGGTAGCTCATGCCTGTAAGCCTAGCAACTGAAAAGATTGAGATCTGAGGACTGAAGTTCAAAGCCAGCCTAAACAGGAAATACATGAGACTCTTATTTAATTAATCAGCAAGAAGCTGGAAGAAGAGCCGTGGCCTTGAGTGAAAAAGATAAGGGAGGGAACTCAGGCCCTGAGTTCAAGCACCAGTACAGGTACCAACACAAAAGAGTCTGGTACAAAGTCAAAAGACTGTAGAGCCGGGCACCAGTGGCTCACGCCTGTAATCCTAGTTACTCAGGAGGCTGAGATCTGAGGATCTTGGTGCAAAGCCAGCTTGGGCAGGAAAGTCTGTGAGACTCTTATCTCCAATAAACCACCAGAAAACCAGAAGTGGCGCTGTGGCTCAAGTGGTAGAGCGCTCGCCTTGAGC